ATATTGTGTTTTTTATTAATATTGTTAATTTATTTGGTACCTACTATAATTACCACGATTATTACTCCGTTTTCATAAGGCCCACCTAATGACTACAACGATTAGGTAAATTACGATATTGCAAAGTTTTAATGAGATAAATAAAAAATGTGTATGAATATTTTAACTAATTGTACTAAGAATTTTTCTTTCATTCTTAACCCTCTCAAAAATTAATAAGCACGCCCCCGATTTGCTGTCAACTGGGCTTACTTCTACTCTCAATCATTATTGGTTTTAGTATAAAATAGAAATTGATGCACGAAGTAGAATCCAAAATTGGAAGGAAATGGTTTTATTTGGAAAATCAGTAATGATGATGACATATGAAAGCAAATAAACGAAACGAAAAATAACGCAAATCAAATTATTGAAAGTAAATTACACTGTGCGTCCATGTGCGTAAGGCATACATTTATTGTGAGCTAAATAAACACTATTGATGAAAAAACCCAGAAAAGGTCGAGTTTTGATGTTTTCTATTTATCTAAAATGATGAGGAAGATCTTCCTCTTGAAGATGATCACTTGGTCATCGAAACACGTGTAGAGGTGTTAAAATAACAGTTTGGTGTTGGGAAAAACTCCAGTAATATCCAAATGATAATTTGAAATGAGTTCAGAGTTTTTAAATGGAACTTTCTTTTCCTTCAATTTCTTTTTCTGGAGTAAGTTTGCCAAGTGAAATCAAAAAGTGTATCATATGGTACTACCAGTTGGGACAGGATGAACAATTCCAAAATTGCAAATTTTGCATAATAAAAAGAAAATGAAAAAATAAAATATATCAAATAAAATCATATAAGTTACGTATGCGATATACGAAAATATTTTTTTAAAAAGACTTCATTTTGAACAAATACAAGGTTACAGTTCAAGCAAAGTAACAAGAATGCATGATTATTTAATTAACAATAATTTATTAGTTCGATTTTGTCGACTTAGCATGTAGTCGCGCCTGGAACAGCGGAAGTAACTCTATCCCTGAGTAATGCTCGGTCAGCGAACTCGGGTTCATAACTCCTCCATCCCTAAGACAAAAACAAGAGGGATACTGGTTTGTTTTCGGTATTTTTGGTATGGACGGTTTCTTCTTCTTTCATGGGGCTGGTCCTTTTCTTATAAAATTTCCAGATTGCGAAAGCAGCGGCAGCAATCATAGAGAGGGTTATTCGGTTGCCTATGGAATGTGTTTCTGGATGTAACTGACATTGGTTCTGGTTGATTTAGAGGTGTCCTCCCTGTAGATTTGGAGACATTTGGGGGTAGGCCAAAGACTTGTCTGTTTGTTGGGAAGTTTCTGTGGTCAGGTCATGGCTGAACATTGATAGGTTGTCTGGGAAATGAGTTTGCAGAAAATGACTGAGGTGCTGAATGTCTCGTTTCGAATGTTGGTATTTGGGGGGTGTCTAACAAATTTGTTGGTATTGTCTTGAATAAATTGATTTAGTAGCAGCATCCATTTCTGTGTCAAGAAATGAATTTATTTTTTGTGTAAGAGTGCTTCTCAAAATTTGTAACCTTTTATCAAAATCCAAAGTGGATTCATTTCTCAGAGGTCTGCACATGAGTAAATTTTGTTCTAGACATTCAAGATTTCGTTTATCACCAAAACATTGAACAATAGCGGACTTTATTGAATCCCAAGTGGTTAATTCACTTCTACAACCTACTAATAATTGAGCTCTGTTGAATAATTTTGTATGAATTGCTCCAATTGAATATTTCTCCAAGATAGGATCATTTGCATTACTATATGTTTCAAAAAGAAAATCACAAGCTGATAGCTTGAAGCTAGTCATATCACCATCATAATTAGGTATCGTATCGACAAACATTTTCAACATGCCCAGGGTAACTGTTGGGTTTACCGTTTGAGCAGGCGGAGTTGGACTTGCATTATTATTCGCCATGATCTCAGATATGGAATTAGAAACGTTTAAAGATCTGTTGAAGCCTTCTTTTAACTCGTCTACATTTGTTTGATCATTATTCATAAAGTTTCAGAAAGTTTCACTTCCGGTGATTCAGTTACCAGCTTATCTGCTTTGTTTGAAATGTCTGGACACCTCCTCAGGCCCTCAGGTTGAATCAATCCCTTTTTGGTGCACAGGATCGAAGAAAGTCATTAAAAGTCTCGATGAGTGCCGAAGAGTAAAAACCCACGTTTTTCTACTCCGAAATCGGTTTCGATGCCGTATATTCACGACGAAAAAACTGCACTTATCCTACCGACTGCGCCAGTTACGTATGCGATATACGAAAATACTTTTTTTAAAATACTTTATTTTTAACAAATACAACGTTACAGTTCAAGCAAAGTAACAAAATGTATGATAAGATTATTGAATTAACAATAATATATAAGTTCGGTTTTGTCGACTTAGGATGTAGTAGCGTCTGGAACAGCGGATGTAACTCTATCCCTGAGTGATGCTCGGTCAGCGAACTTGGGTTCATAACTTGTATGATAATTATAACTACTCTGATACTGACAAAATTTTGATGATTTATTTTTAAAACTTTTGTTTTTTAATTATTCAATTTTAATATGCAGGGTGTCCCTGGACTTACTCTTTTCCTCCCGGGAATGTATAGATGGGGTCAAAATTTCACCAGGACTTCATATAACTTTTGTTCCTAAAATCCTTCCTTACCAAATTGGGGGCGCTCTAAATTACAAAATGAAAAATGTCTTTTTTTGATAACTTTTCGAGTGAATATTCGAAACCAACCATATTTTGGTGATTGACTAAAAAAATTAATTGCTTTGATAAGCTTTCATTCAGGAGTCAGTTGTTGTGATACAAAGTCAGGAACGGACTACCTCCGATGGTCCACACCCCAAAACTTTGAAATGACAGATATTTTTCAATATTGTTTAACAAAATCAGGTTACTTAGACAATTTTCTGGATGAAAGTACTCGTGTGAAAAATCAATCCGAGCAACAATTTTCGATAAAAATGCACTTTTGTTCGACGAAATCCAACCTGAGATATCAACCATCATTCGAAAAGATAAATTTTGAATGAAAATAGAAATGATGGGTAATATGTTCATAACGAGTTTGTATAAAGCAAACAAGTTGACTTTACAAAACACATGGTGTGAATATCAATTTCAAGCCTCAAGAGCGAGCAGAAATGGAAAATCCGCTACAAAAACTGTACGACGTAACCCCCCTCTCTCTCAATACATTTTCGTAGTCTCCGAAGACAGCATCTCTTTACTTGAAATATCATTTCAGAGTCGTTTCGTATGGCTTCACAATGTAATGTTATTCTATTCAACAGGGCATATCTTGTGTGAATATATGTAGCGTAAACATGGCTTTGTAGATGCCTTCACAGAAAGAAATACAATAGATCTGAATCCGGCCATATGCATGGCCCACCTCTACCAATCCATCTATTGTGGAAAGTATGGCTCAGATGGTCCAGCACAATCGAACTGAAATGAGGAGGAGCATCATCATGCATAAACCACCTATCTCTTCGAGTTTGCAATGGAACATGTTCCAAAAGTCCATTCAAATCGTTCTGTAGGTACTGCAAATAACGTTCGCCATTGGTCATGTAGAACGAATGGTCCTATAAGATGGTTTCCTATAATACCAGCTCGAACATTCACGTTGAATTTTCGTAACTTTGTAAATAAAAGAGAGAGCGCCGCTTTTTCCTTTCGGATTCGTAATCTACGCATCAAAATACGTAAGTACACTCAAAAATTTTTTCAAAATCGCCGGGTGCCCTCAAAACGACTATTTATCCTATTTATTATATGCGAGCGCTTTCGCTTTCGGAAAAGTCTAGGGATATTTTTATAACATACTAAATATCATAAAAATAAATGCATGAGGTCGTTTAATTTTGATTAAATTGGTACACTCGACCACCCTGTAGATTTCTATGGGTTGAACAAAGCCTCCAAAAACGGTAACCAATCTTTTATCAAGTTTTTTACAGACTGTAGGTTTTCGGCTTATACAATC